AGTAATGTGGGTATGTGGAAGTCAGGACAAGAGGCTCCTCTACAGGAGGCAACACCCCAGATCTCTAGGTCCCCGGAGTAGACTTCTTTTTTTTTTTTTTTTTTTCCTTTTTGTCTTTTTTCGTGTCCGGCAACAGATCGCAACCCTTGGTGTTGCGCCCGCACTTCGCTCAGCCAGTGAGTGGGAACCGGTCTGTATGTGGGATCCGAACCCTCGGCGGGAGCGCCACCGCGCTTCCCAAACGGCACACTGTAGCAGTGCGCCACCGGGCCGGCCCTCTGGAGTAGACTTCTTTCCAGACCAGGGAAAGGCCCACATGACTCACATATGCAAGATTTTATTATAGGAAACCCCAGTGGGCTGGGCCCCACAGCCAGGTCAGCAGGGGGCCTGCTGGCTCAGAGGAAACAGGAGAGAACCTGGGGACCTGCCTTCCCTCTGCGTCTCCGATAGCTTCCATGGCCACCTTTTTCCTAGGATAGCCACCCTCATACCTGGGCCCCTCAGGAGAAGTCCAGATGGTCCTGGTGACAAGGCAAGGCCCTGATGGGGGGGGGCAGCCTGAGGAGGCCCCTGGCAATGGGCAGCATCTTAAGCGATTAAGATGCAGATTAAACAGACGGCAGGTCATGTAATGCTTCCCAGGGTCCCATGGCCGGGGCCCAGGGAGTGGCCCAGAGTTCTGGGGAGCAGCCAGTCTCTCAAAACACCCCAGGAAGGGGGAAAATGTCGGTGTGGGGGGTCTCGACTCCACCATGGGAGGCTGGCTCAGCAATGCCCCCCAACTCCCTCCCCTACTGCTGTCAGTCCTTCTCAGGCTGTGTGTGCAAGTGTGTGTGTGTGTGTGTGTGTGTGTGTGTGTGTGTGTGTGCGCGCGCGCACGCAAGCCTGAGTTCTCTGTGCATGTGTGACTGGATGTGGGCATGTTGAACATGCTTGTGCACCTGTGTTGGTGTATGGCGGCGTGTGTACGAGCGTGTGAACGTTTGCATGAGGGTGGGTGTGAGTGTGCTCATGCGTGAGTGTGTGTATGCACGCATGCACGTGTGCTCAGGGGGCAGTGACATCAGGAAGCCCCGGCCCTCACACTGCTGACTTTTCCACTTTGTCATCCCCAGGAGCTGCCCTCACTCCAGGCAGGCCACAGCACCACCTGCACACCTTGGGGCAGGACCGAGGCCCTCAAGTCCCTGCTCCCAGCTCTGGGTGCCCGCTGCCTCCCCAGGAGGGTGCCTGGCTAGTTGGGGGGTGCATGAGGGTCCAGGCACCATCACCAAACTCGGGGCCAGGGGCAGCTTAGCCTCCAGACAGCGTGGAGACAAAGGGCATTTATCACAGGAGCTGGCGCAGATGGGGCATCATTAACCTGTTATTAACCGGGCAGTCAGATAACATCGTGTATTTTGTAGCCCTCCGTGTGAACCTCCTGCCCACTCGGGCCAGTGTGGACACAGGGCTTGGCGCAGGCAGCCCGGGGCAGGGCAGGTGGCTACACTCCTGGTGCCCATGCCCTCTCCCAAGGCCTCTGCATGGGCCCCAGCCCCCTGGCCCCAGGGTAGCTGCAGAGCCGAGACAGGGCAGCTGCGGGCTGCAGGCAGGGAACTGGTGCAGGCCTTCCCGTGCCGGGTGGTGGCCGGCTCCCAGTAGCCCCCTCGTGTTGCCAACTTCCAAACCCAAGCAGGAAACCCCATGCAGAACCAACTAGCACTGAATGGCAATTTATTTTTAAACACTCGTAATCTGTCTCTCTTCTCACATTCTTCCTTCTCGTGTTTCTTTTCCACGATCTAACACCGCTGTTCGTCAAACCCTGGCGTCTGTGGCCGTGATGTTTTGGAGAACAATTACGTAGGGAAGTAATTTCACAGTCAGAGTCGCAGAAAGGCCAGCCAGCAATGGGGACAGAACAGAGCAAGGCTGTAAAAATTACTCGAAAGGGGAAGAAAACCCTTGAAAGTCTCAGGCCCACCCTCCTGCCCCAAAGGAAAAAACACGTGCGGCGGTTTCGATCAAAGCCTCTAGGCCACGTCACGAGAGCCCCTTCCTCTGCGGCTCCACGCCAGACCGTGTCCCCAGGAAGCCTTCGCCCAACCCCCAGCCCCCCATACCATCCAAGTATACATGAGGGATAAAATTACATTTGTACAAAAATAGATTTTTTTTACCTTTCCCAATGCTCTAGACATTTTCTCTTATCCTCACCCTTATGGATCTGTCGTCCTCTCTAAGGATTAGCGATGTGTCCCAGCTAAGGCGATGCTAAAGGTGGGGAACGGCCGAAGCTGTCTGCTCCAAAGCATCTTAAAATAGATGCATCTCCTTGCCTTGAGATATTCATGCGAACCCAGACTTCACCCAAGGAGGGGTCCTTACGTACTTGCTTGCATGAAGCAAATTTAGAGGGAAACAGGGAGTCTCGATTAAAAATAAACACAGAACGTGGGTAACCGCTCCGCGTGTCCCGCGTCGGCGGCGCCCGCTGTCCACGCGCAGCGTCTCTGTACAGCACATACATGTTTACACCACACATCTGCGTGGACGGGAACCAGGTCGTGAGCCCCAGTCCCATGATGGGGCCAACATCAGCTCATTACCCACTGGCTGCTCACTCCGGCCGGGCCCTCCTGGGGACCCCCACAGGGAGGGGGCTGAGGGATGGTCTCCAGACTCTGCCACCAGGCCACCAAGCTGGAATCCTTGGGGACGCCATACTTGGAAAACCAAAGGTGTGGGGCCATCTTTCCCAGAGACCACGTGCTTCCAGGGTGACGAGGGCCAGCCCCTGACGTGGGGCCCATCTGGGTGAAATGTCCCCAGGCAGGCCAGCTTCCGAAAGCTTCCCGACTGGGACCGAGCAGGAGCCTGGCTTTGTGGTCATCCTCACTCCTCAGCCATGGCAGCCCTGTGTGCACGTCAAAGCAGGGAGGTGACAGAGCCGAGGATGTGCCTGCAGGACAGGGCTGGCCCGGGAAGCGGCACTGGGGAGAGGCAGCCTCGGTGGCAGTGCTCGCCCAGCCGGGCCGAGGCAGGGACGGGCACAGAGCGGCTAACGAACTGGTGTTAGTGCTATCTTTAGAAAATTAAAGATTGTCCCACCAAAATAATAATAATAATAATTACAAAAAAAAAAAATCACCTTAATTGAGCCAGATTGGTAATACTACTAACGGTCTGGTTAAATAAGAATCCTACCTCTACTGAGTAATGTGCGACTCCCCACATATCACCTTTTCAAACAAACAGCGTCACACATACAGTGATGACAACAAGGAAACTAATGACAAGGGGCGGGAGCCCTCAGGATGAGGCTGAGACAACATGGGTGGCGGGGGTGGTGGTTAAGGCTATGGGGCCAGAGGGACGGGGACTCTGGTTTCAGGAGGGGGTGGCCCGGGAGGCTCAGTGCTTAACAGACAGCCATGGCAGGAAACTTCCCAAGAAGCAGCTGACCCCTGCAACGGAGGCCCCTGTCCCTGGGTTTCCTCCTCTGGAGCCACCGATGTTCCTCTGAGGGCCCTGAGGAGCACATGGGGCACCGCGTATGGCCGGGACCAGGCATGAACAAAGGGTGCATTTGGCTGCAGAAGGCACCAGGTGTTGGGTGTGCGTCTCAATGGCTCCCACAACCGGGGGACCCAAGAGGGCCCACGTCACTCTGCCTGTTACCACCACACCCCAGAGGCTGCCCAGACTTCCTGGTAGAGTCTGGGAGGAGGAAGAGCTGGCGAGGGCCCTGGTACAGCTGTGGGGCTCCCCTGTGCACTACCTCTGCCTCGGGACAGCAGACCAGGCAGGGGACACCTCTCCCCAGCCAGCACGCTGAAAGGCAGGGGTGGGGGGAAGGGAGGGAGATGTTTCTGGAGCCTTGACAGCCTCTGTCTCAGGCAGACAACTGCAGTGTCCTCCAGGTGCCCCAGCTCGGCTCTGACTGGGGACTCCGGAAGGCAAAGAACGGGCACTTTCCTCCCCAGAAGCCTGGAAAGCTGCCTTTCCTGGATGCCTCCCCGCCAGACCCCTGGACAACACCCTATCCGCACTGAGGAAGACCCCATGAGAGGCACCCCGCACGCCCCATTCCAGCACCGCTCCTGGGAAGACAAACCCTTCCTGGCAATGCCCCGCTGCCCACCCCCATTCAGGCACCTGCTGCCGACAGATGCGAGCCCGTGGGTCTGAGACGTGAACGTGGAAGGTACTCAGGCCGGAGGGAGGGCCTGACAGTGCAAAGAGGCGTGTTCAACCTGAGAGCACCCGCACCACCAGAGCGGAACGTGCAGGCCGTGCCGGCCGCAGAGCTCCCAGCCACAGCGGTGCTGCTTGGACTCCCACGTAAGGCTCTGGGTGAACGATGTCATCCACAGACCAGCTGGGCTGGGTGGTCCCAAGAGGACCTGTAGCCCCAGGCCTGAGGACACTGGGCCTCCACGGCTCTCAGAGTCCAAAATTCTTCCAGACAGAGCCAGCCAGCCAGAGAAAGTGGCCTGAGCAGGGGTCTCACCCAGCGCCCAGTGAGTCAGCTACTCTGGGGTGGCCCAGAAGCCTCTACCAGGATGCAGCCGCGTCTGCTCCTGCCACATGGCAGGCCCCCTGCCTCCCTCTGAGGGAAACCGGCCAGCCACCCTCTCCCCTCCCCGCCCTTCAGGCCTTCCTGATAGCCGACATCTGCTGAGGGGTCATCAGAGCCCACGTGAGAATGGCCATGTGCTTCCAGCAAGCCCACTGGGGCGACGACACATGACCCTGCCCAAGACTGGGCTAGCCCTCCAGGAACCAAGCTAGCCCTGGTCCACCTCAGACCGAAAGAGAAGATGTGGGTGGGGCAGAGGCCAGGGCACCATGGTCTGGGCACCCTGGGTTGAACAGGAGCACATGGCAGGGAGAAGCTGAAACCAGGACAAGAACGCAGAGAAAACTGAGGTGGGCGAGTGAGTGACCCTGTCCCCGCAGCCTTGAGGTGGCCCAAACCCTGCACAGAGGTCAGCTCACGTTCTCACTGCTTGGGACGAAGCTGCGAGCTATCTTTGGAAAATGGGCTGTTCCACCTTCACTCTGAGCAAAGGGAACCTGGCTTGTGCTGACTCCCCTCCCGCTGTCCCAGGGCGGGTGGGGCTCTTGCCATGAAACACCAGCCTGCTCCCCCCCTGCCCCTCCTCCTGACACCGGGTGGGGCTCTCACGGGCTGGCGGGCACCAGCACTCAGAGCAGGCGAAGACAGGTCACTCCAAACAGAGAGCCGCTGGGGAGATGTGAAACCAGCAACCAACAGCAGCCAGGACAAAGCCTCTTTCCCGCTCCTGCAGCTCCACAGCTGGGGGCCACGAGACCCCCTGTGAGCTGCCTTGAGCCCCCCTGGGGTGAGCTTGATGGGGAGGGGCCTGGCTGAGTCACACCAGTTCTTGCCAATCCGGCTGCCGCCCGAGAAAGCCACTGTCCTGGGCCAAAGACAAGTAGTAATAAAAATCACGAGGACAACAATGCATCTCGCAGGCAGAGCAGTCACAGGCCGCACCCCAGAGGTCCACACAGGCCAGGCAGGGAGGGCAGGGACAGGCCAAAAAGAGCAGCTGGCGTCCAGGCAGGCGGCCGGAGCGGGCGGGCGCAAAGGACGGGCCTAAGTCATTTGGTGTGGGGCTTCCAGCATCTCCATGAGGAAGGTGTCGATGGGCGTGTCCCCGATGAGCTTGAAGAAGAACAGGTGTTCCAGGCACTTGAGCCCAATGGAGCGCAGGGCGGGCAGGCGCAGCAGGAGCTTGGCGAACCTGCCGGGACAGCAGGGCCGGGTGAGGGGCAGGCGACCCGCCCACCCTCCGCCCTGGCACCGGCAGCCTCCCTGGGGACGTGCCCTGTCCTACAGCCTGAGCCCCCAACCATGATCTGCAGCGTGAGACCTGCCTGTGCTGAGCCTGCAGGAGGAAGGAGTGGCATCTAAGATAGAGGAAACAGAAGAGGCCCCGGTGGTGAGACAGTGGCTGCTGGACAGGCTCAACATGGCTGTGTGAAGATGTTAAAAAACGTGGGCTTGCTCCAGGGGCAGTGGGGAGCCACGGCAGGACTTCATGCAAGGGAGAGAGCTACAAGAATGGATGTGAGTATCAGCAATGCCTCGAGCTGCAGCAGACATCCCACGACAAACAGTGGGGCCTGTACCAGGAAGGGTGACAGGGATGGAGATGTGTGGGCAGCTCACAGGTGACATGCAGGGTACCGGGTGGGTGACTAAAAAGTCATGGGGGGCAGGGGGCACTCAGACTGGGTCTCCACTGGAGGTGGAGCCAGTCCTGAGTTGGGGAATTCTGGGCCTGAGCAAGACCCTTCCCCTAAAGCACTGACATCTCTCGAGCCCCTCCCCACAGCACCTTTGCAGGCCTGGCAGCCCCAGCCCAGGGCCAGCCCTTCCGCAGAAACAGCTCTGCTGCATGGAGCTGGTGGCTGCACAGGAGGGACACGTGATCCTCAGGGCCCTGTCCACACCCTGGGGAGTTTCCTGGGGAGGGACTGTTGGGTGGGGGGAAGTCTGGGAGGCTCTGGGAGAAGCAACGTCAGGGTCAGCTGGTCCTGCTTCAAGGGCAGTTGCCACCAAGGCAGTGGGTATGGGGATGCGGCCAGGTGTCCCTCCCTGTGCACACTGCCCGGTCCCCCCACACGGACCCTCGAGGGGCTGCAGGGCCTCCTTAATTATTAACGACGTCTCCTACTTCACGGGAACAGCCCGTGGCTGCGTGCCTCACGGTCCTCACTCCAGAGGCAAAAACTCAGCTTAGAGGCTGGAGCGGGGCCAGAGAACGGGCCGTTTTCTGCTGAGCTGGCGAGATGGGCCGTGGCGGGCAGCCAGGAAAAACAAGCTGCCGCCACCCCCTCCCGTCCGGGAAGCTTTAAACCAAACCAGATGAGGACTGAGACGGCAGCGTGGACACGGTTAACTGTGTGTGTGCCAGGAGGTGGCTGGGTGGCCAGGGAGGCCTGGGTGTCCACCTCACCCAGCCCCTCCCTTCGAGAGGCAGAGAGGAGGGGCAGGACCAGGACAACAGGCTCAGACCCCAGGAGTCCACGAACGCTTCTCCTGGACACCTCCTGTGTGTCCAGCCCCGTGGTCTCAGAAATGAGAGAGGATCCCCACCCTGCCAGGGCCCACAGATGGACGTAGGAGAAAGCACCTCTGAGCTGGGGCCACACCATCCATCCTGCACACACCTGTAAAGCACCCACTGTGTGCTGGGGTTGCCTGCTTAGCGGGGCAGTGGCGGGAAGTGGGGAGCACAGCCTTCATCTACGTTCTCAACAAAGGCAAGAACCTACAACGTGCCAGTGCAGGGCCAATCCTTTTGGAGGTCTACAGGATAAGAGCACGGGGCGTGTGCGCCCGCTGGCCTGCAGAGCACTGCCTGCTCATTCCCACAAAAGGGCCTGAGGGCACCTCTCCTGGGGTGGGGACAGGGGCTCTCAGAGCAAGACTCCCCGTCTGTGCGGGCAGGGCAGGGCTCACCGTCCCGGCTGCTCCGGGTACTTGTGTTTGCAGTAGGCCTCCAGGGACGCGTACACCTTCTCCCTCAGCGCCTCCACCTCGGCTGGGTTTGAGAGTCCCTTGGAGTCTGCAGGGAGAAGCAGCCGCAGGTCAGAGCCCCTCGCCGGGTGGGCTGTCCACAGGGACCCAGGCCTGTCAGGTCTTCTTCCCCAGCTTCCCCACCTAGGGCAAAGCAGGCAGCATGCAGTGCACTGCAGGACGTGGCTGCCCTGCCAGCTGCCACGAAGCCCAGCGGCAGCGGGACGAGTGTGGAACCTGCCACCAGGCTGCCCTGGGCACCACCCCCGGCTTTGCCACTGGACAGCCACATGACCTTGAGACAGTCCCTTGACCTTCAGAGACTCAGTTTCCCCATCTGTAAGTTGTCAGTAATCTGCTCCCCACCCCACATCCATTGCCGTGGTAACCAGGAGACCGTGGATGTCTTCACTACACTTGGGTCACTGTCCCACTGACCTCAATGGAAGCTACAGACCACATCCCCAGAAACATCCAGACCCAAGCCATGGAGAAAAGGCCCCAGAGCCTGTCCTCAGTGCCTGGGACTGTGAGTCCTGAATCCAGGCTGCGAGTCAGGACCCAGGGGTTGGGAACCCAGCCTGGACAGAGACGCCAGCAACTGCAGCCACCAAAACCTCTAGGGCACTAGTGGCCTGCAGAGAATGCCCCGGGTGGCCTGGGGTCCTGGGATCCTCAGACACATCCCAGGCTCCTCCGCCTGTCCCAGCTCTAACCAGTCTCCCCTCCCTCCTCTTCGGCCACGCCCAGGCCCCGCTGGTGAACCAGCGCCAGCAGCCAAGCCACACAGGGGACTCCACCGGGTGGGCCAGAGGCGTGGCCCAGCCTCCTGTGCTAGTAGATCACGGCTGGAAGTACAGAACTGGGTGATGAAGACACACCATCTCCACCCAGCCCAGTCCCACTGGGTGGAGCTAACAAGGACAGGGAGGTCATCCTAGGAGCTCTGAGAGGGCCTGTCCTCATGAGCCCCCCTGCCTCTCACCACCCCAGCATCCTCAACCTGCTCCCTGTGTCCCCCATAGCCTCGCAGCAGATGGTGCGGTGTTACCATACACTACAGTTCTGCAGGGCTTGGCTCTCTGTGGCCCCTACGAGAAAGCCCAGACCTGGCAAAACCCTCAAGGACCTGCCAGGCAGCCCCTGCCTGGCCAGCCCACCCTGCGCTCTGCCCTCCCTCCCAACTGGCCTTTTGCTAAACTTCACCTCCTGGAGGAAATGTCCTGCGCACCCTTGACCATGCGGTGGTCCCGCCATCGCAGGGCAGGGGTGGTCATGAGCACTGCCCACGGAACCCCCAGCTCCGAGAGAGCAGGCCTCGCCCAGCTGCTTGTAGGAGGACCTCCCACGCCAGGCATTTGCTACGTGAAGGAGCAACACCCTCCAGCTTTTCAAGCAGAGAAGCCAGAAGCTGCCTAAGTGCCCTGCTGTCAGGTGGGAGGCCTGCCCCAGCCCCAGCCCCACAGCCCCCGGCCCCACACCAACACCACTGCAGGGGTCCTGGCCCCAGGAACACCCTGGACCTGAGGCTGGGGGATGAGGCTGGTCACCCCGGGGCACCGCACAGGCCTAAGCCGTCACCAACACCAGCCTGGAAGGTGGGGGATGCAGAATGTCAGTGCCAGAAGCTATGTGCGGAGCCAAGGACTCTGCCGCACTGTGCCGAGGCACGCTGGTGGCAGAGGCCAGATGGCCCAGCCAGAGGCCTTGCGGGAGCTCCACCAGGGGGGCCTTTACCGACAGGCGCTGTCACAGGCCCCACCGCTACAGAGGCCACAGAAGCACAAGCCACCGCAGCTAATCCTCACAGCACGAGCAGGACAGTGTGACTGTCCCTCTGCTGTAAGGACGACACAGAGGCAGAGGCAGAGGCACGGGCAGACATTTGCCCCGCCACAGCAACAGCAAAGAGCGCAGCCGCGGCCCAGGTCTGGGGCTGTGAAGGGGCCCGGCGCAGCACAGGACCGCAAGGTGGCAGGCTGTACCGGGGTTGAAGAGGACGATGGCGCGCAGGCAGCCCAGCTCCGTCTTGTCCATCTGCATGTCCCGCATCTTGGACACGAGCTCCGTCAGCACCCTGCAGGGGACAAAGGCAGACGCCAAGCCCGAGTCAGACCACGCTGTCGCCAGGACGCCACCCCAGATGTGCCCAAGGACTCAGGGAACCTGGAGTGGTCCCACAGGGCAGAGGAGACGGTCAAGGCCAAGCCGGGGAGCAGACCCGACCACCAAGGAGAAAGTTTGAACATGGGCACAGACACCCCCACAGGCCTGCCCCAGCTTGCACAGAGGGTGGGCTCCTCTCCTCTCCCCTGAGGGTCTGCCTGAGGGATTTTATTCTGGGAACTTGGACACTAAGGAGGGACCTCATGACAGCTGAGTCTAGGTGGGCCAGGCCTGAGTCCACCGCCTCACAGGACCAGCCAGACCCTGGGTTGTCTCTGCTCCACTGCAGACCAGGCACCACAGCCTGAAGCCAAGCTCTAGCCTGCGTGGCACCCACGGCCGCTCTCTGCAGCCCATGGAAACCTTTCCCCAGGATGCAGCCTCCCTGGGTGAGGTGAGGGGTTTGCTGGAGGGGAGGTGGGTCCCACTTCTTGTCTCCAACCATCTGCTTCCATGAGGGGAAAAGACCACCCACACGGCCTCATCAGAGAGGTGGAGACCCCCTGGTGGAGGCTGCGCCAGCCCCTGTAAGAGCCGGTGACTGAGTTCTGAACCCCCCTGGCCCACCTGCAGCACACCAGCTTGGCCACACGGAGCCCTGGGCCTCCCCGCCCTTGACAGTCTGTTCACCCACAACTCGACTGTCGTGTCCAGAGATGGAAGTGGCGGTGAGGCTGGCACCACAAGGGAGGAAAGAGGGCAGTGCCCAGGGGGCAGGATGGCCACCCCCAGAGGAGCCCCGGCTTTTCCCTGTGGGCCAAGGGGAGCCTTGAGGGTCTACAGGCTGGAGAGGGTGGTGGTCGCTTCCTGGGAAAGATCTGAAAGTGCCTGGAGGACGCAGTGGGGAGAACAGGAGCTCGGTGGCCCCGCAGCCTCTGGGGCCAGAGTCGGGATGCCAGATGTCCACTCTCAGGCAGGGCACACAGCTGCAGAGGGCGCGAGAAAGCCCCAGGCCACCCGGGCAACTCGCACCCCACTCACATGGAGGGTGAGGAAAAGCTGGGGCCTCTCTGATCGCTGCTCTGGGACCCCAGAGAATGTATCCCGAGACCTCCGTCACCAGAGCTGCCAGCTGGGCAAGCGGCAGGGGCTGCGCTTCTCAAAGCCAGGAGCCAGAGGGACATACCCTCTAAAGCAGCTTCTGAGGGCGATACACACCCCCGGCTGCCCCTTTTGGTGGCTCTCATACGTTAGCCTGTTAAAGGCTCCGAGAAGTCCTGCAGCAAAGTCCCTTGTATACCCTGTTTAAACCAGCATTCGCCCGCTTATGAGGCCACAAGCCCTCTGCATTTGGTACATGCTGAAGCTCCAGGCTGGCTTCAGGCTGACTGTCTACTCCACCTGAACCATGCTGTGGGCCAGTGACGTTCATGCATTTATTCCCCTAGGGGTGCCAGTGGGTGGCCTCTACTCACCTCCAACTCCAGGGCTCTCACACTCAGGGGCTCACCTGGGACCCCTCTTGCCACCTCCTCCCCTCACCTGCTCCTCTCCACTCTGTGCTCCTAGTGCGGAGGCCCCCACCCAAGGAACCCTGTGATGCCCCTTCCCTGGCTTCCCTGCTCCAGCAGCTGAAGGTGACATCTGGGTCCCCAGAATGCCCAGGCTTGGCATGGGCCTCTGGGCACACAGACACAGACTGCCCAGAGACAGGGACAAGGAAGACACCGTGCATCTTGCCCCGTGGAAGTGAACAAGCCCAGCATCTCAGGACACTACCCGCCAATCAGGACTACCTGCTCTGGTGTATCGCTAAGAAGTAGCCGAGGTGCAGACAGAGGGGAAGGTGCCCACGCTCTGCCAGGGCTCCATGGCAGCAGCGCTGCAGGACGGGCTCAGGGCACAAGCCACGCCTCAGGTTGCGACAGCATCCCAGTCACAGCACAGAAGAGTCTGTGACCCGCCAATCCGAACAACAATTCTATAAAAAGTATGGCTTTCCTTCCCACGGATGGATATACTGGATTACCAAAAAGAAAAAAGAACTGGAAGGAAATAAGCCACAATGCTGGCTGTAGTCTCAATTATTCCCAGATGCTGAGTTCTAAAGGGATTTTAATTCTTCCTTGTACTTTTCTGTATTTCTCGCATTTTTAACCTGCTTGAGCAGGATGTGCATGGACCTGACTCGGCCAGCCCAGCGGTACAGGTGGCGGAAGCGCCCTGGCCCTGCCAGGGTCCCACCCCACCTGTCAAAGATGGCGCCCACCCCTGCGCTGTGGGCGCTGTTCCGGTGGACGTGCAGCCCGGTGGCCAGGAGGATCCCGTCCTTCACGGCTATGGACCGGTGCGAGAAGGAGGCGATGAGCAGCTCGTTCCAGCCTGGGGGAGGAGGCACACGGTCACTTGCTGTCTCCAGGCCCCCCCGCCCTGCCTCCACCCCACCCCCTAGTCGGACCCCCACCGCAGCACGTCGCAGACCCATCCAAGCCCAGGCTCGCAAACTGGGCTCCAGTGCCCTGTAGAAAAGAGGCTGCTCTGTACCTAAGACCAGGAAACACCTCTTCCTTCTCCAGGAAGGAGACCTATAAAGGCCTCGAGAAGTCCTGCACAGAGTGTCTCCTCCGGCTTTGTTTAACCCAGGACCTCACTGACTCGTGTGCCACGGAGCGTGAAGGACTCGCTCTGGGATGGCCACGGAACACCTGCTGCCAGCCTGGCCCAACAGCACATTTCCAGAGGTCAATGTGGACTGCGTGGAGCGCCACAAAATAGCAAAGCACTAAACTTAGACAAGGTGCCCAGAGCCACGGGCCCACCCTGGCACTCTTGTGGGATGTTCTCACGCAGGCGCCCCAGAGCAACATCGAAGGGTGAGGAAAGGGCACAGAAGAAACAGAAGAAGTCCCTGTGCACGAATACTTAGTGGCTCCTGTAAACTGGATAACATGGAATCGTCGTCAATGAACCAACAGTAGCTGGCTGGGTAACTCACGTGGGACAGCCCGGTGCTCACACCAAGGTCAAGCGTTCAGACCCCCTTTCTGGCCAGCCGCCAAAATAAAACAAAACAAACAAACCAACAAAATATATATATATAAATGTATCCATGATAATTTTCATTGCCAACACTCCCTGAGTGGTCGAAAGGTTCTGGGTATCATGTGGATTACCAACTGCGATCTTACAAAGCACACACTAGCTCCATTTTACAAAGAGGGAAACTGAGATACACGGCGGGAAGGGGTCAGCAGGAGGATAGGCGTGGACCTCAGGGACCCCTCCGTCCAACGACTCCAACCAACCCTGGCTTCCCAGCTGTGTGCAGCCCTCCCGAAGCTCATCGGAACATGACTTCATGCCCCCATCACGGGAACCCAGGAGGCAAGTCCTGCCGTCCTCATTTCACAGCTCGGTGATCTGAGAGCCCGGGAAGGAAGCCCTGACCCCGAGGCTGCCCCTTCCTGGGTGGGAGGGGTTTGACAAGCCTCTGAGCTGTGCCCACCGAAATGAGAGAGGAAAAGCCAGGGAACGCTGTCACAGAGGCGCAGGTCCAAGACGTCCCCAGTCAGCTTGCACGTCCCATTCCAAGCCGGGTGTCAGCAGGCAGCCCGTTGAAAGGGGAAACAAGGAAAGTAGGAGAGTGCATCTGGGAGACGCTGCCCTGAAGGCTCTGGCAAGTCGTGCAGTGAAAACATCTTCCTCTCGGCTCAGCCAAACTTTCTTCGCTCAAGGAACCTTCTTTTTTGCCCATGAAACACCTACAGCATCACATCTGGGGAAACTCTGATCTACGTGACCCCCCTCGATCTGAAACACGGTAATCTGAGGCCCAGGGAGGCGACTACCCCAAGCCACACAGTGAGTCAGGACTGTCCCCAGCCCCAGCCCCCACCCCGTTCCCAATCCCTTCCTACATTCCAGGGTAGGGTGGTTTACATCCCAGTAGAGTGAAAGCTCTTCCAGGGGAGGGCTCTCCCCCTTCCCTCCCCCAGCAGACCAGTGTGGATGGACATCCTATGCCCAAGGGCAGGGACCCAGGAGGCAGAGCTGGCCCCAAACCCACCTGCCTCCCTCCCTGGCTGTCCCTGCCTCTCTGGAGTCACTTTGTGTCTCTCCTTCTGGTCCCCCACAGAGGTCTGTCCAGCTTCGTCCTGCTTCAGATCTAGCGGCCAGGCCTGGGATCCGCCTGAGTGGCCAGCTGTCCCCCCACCACACCCATGGCCGCTGGGGCCCCAGCAGGGCCTGGGGTGGGCTTGCCTCTGGAACTCAGGCAGCGCCCAGCATGGCCTGGCAATGGCTGGTGTCAGAAGCGCTGCTGAGCTGTGGTGCAGCACAGCACAGGGGACAGGGGCCCAGGACATGTGGATGGCCCGGCAGGAATGCACCTCCCAGCAGCCTCCAGCAGGCCTGGCCACATCTCAGCTTATCCGTCCCTCCGCCCCGCACCTGCATCCTCAGCTCTTTCTCCTCTCCCATGGGTAGGAGCATGCTGGAAGGACCCACAGGCCCAGTGGTGAAGCCAGCTGGGGCTCAGACCTGGCTCGGCCTGGTGGGCCCAGCCTCCCCTCTCCACACCGCCATTCGTGCAGCTCAGCAAGGGCACCTGCTCCTGGTATCGGAAGCACCAACCTGCCTGTACACGTCCAGCAAAGCAGGAGCTCTGACAGTCACAGCTGCTGGTATCTGAGGGGATGGTCTGTCCCAGGCGGCCATGGCCAAGCCAGGCCTGGCTTCCCCTCTGGGTCAGGGATGGAGAGGGGGTAGGCAGGACAAACAAGACCAGAGGTGCAAAGTGGTGGGACCCCATGCCTTCTACGTCAGCCCGGCCCCTTCCTCGCTCACGGCCCAGCAAGGCCAGCGCCCCCTGAGAGAGCAATCTTGCACAGCCTGGACCCTCAGAAGTCGTGCTGGAGGGGCTAACGAGACCTCAGAGTTCAACAGCACAGGTGATGGGACAGGCAGGAGGAAGATGTTGGACAGAGGAGCCTGGAAGCCACGGGCGGACCGCGTCCTGCCTCAGTTTGCCCATCTGACAAACATCAGTGTCAGGGTGACTCGATGCTTCCACGGAACAAGCCAGAACTATTTATTTTTAGCACTTCTTTTCTGAAGGCCGCCTGGAAGGGTGGGGTGGGGGTCTGCCCCTAGGACGGGGCCCTAACCCTGCAGTGACAGACACACGAATAAAGCCGGCCTCCGCCCACAGCCAGGCTGGACCCCTCAGTGGGTTCCGGAAGGAGGCCCAGGAGAGGGAGCAGAGGCCGCCCACCACAGGAACACCAGGGGATTGCGTCCCGGTCATCCAAAGCCCCAAGAGGGGCTCGGGTCTAGGGGCAGCCAGGGCTCTGGGCCAGGAACAGGCTGCACGGGGAGCTATCACCAACTGCTGCAGGGGAAAGCCACAGGCAGGTGTCCACATGTGAGGGCCAGCGTCAGCGGATGGCCAGGGGCCCAGGACATGTGGATGGCCCGGCAGGAATGCACCTCCCAGCAGCCTCCAGCAGGCCTGGCCACATCTCAGCTTATCCGTCCCTCCGCCCCGCACCTGCATCCTCAGCTCTTTCTCCTCTCCCATGGGTAGGAGCATGCTGGAAGGACCCACAGGCCCAGTGGTGAAGCCAGCTGGGGCTCAGACCTGGCTCGGCCTGGTGGGCCCAGCCTCCCCTCTTCTGCATGCCCCAACAGAAGCCAGTGACCCTCGAAGCCCCACTCTGCCATGACCACCCATGCACCAGACGCCATGACACGGTCGTCCAGCCTGACGTGCAGCCCCACCCCAGCCCTCAGACTTCCTGGTCTTCCCAGGATCTGGAGACTCCTAAGGAAAATACGTAGCCGCATGTGACCAGCTGTCCAAGGCCATCTTTGCTGCTGGGGGGAGACACCACCGTCCTCTCTGCAAAGGCTTTTCCACCTCACCCTGGCTGTTTCCAAAGCCCACGGTGGCCACACGGGCTCTGAAGCTGGCAAAACTAGGGGGATCCTGAACCGAGGGCCAGAGAGGAAGAGCCCCCAGAGGTGAAGGCAGACAGGCAGACGTGGCCCTCGGTCAGCAGAATGGTCGCCAGACTCTGAAAGTCTGTGCCCACAAAGGCAGGGGCCCCACGCCTCAGGCCCAGAGGGGCAGAGACCCATCCGGACAGAAGGAGGATTATCCTGGCTCCTCTGGGTGGGCCCAATATAGTCACAAGGGTCCTCATAAGAGGGAGGCAGGAGGGTAAGTTCCCTCCATACACAGCCTGACCCAGGCGGCTTCCAGAACATTCCATGCTCCACAGGGAGCCGTCTCTGGCTGTTTTTCCATTTTCCACTTCGGAACTGCCTCACGTCACACCAGGCTTCTCAGGTGAAGCTGGGTGGGAGAGCCCACAGCACAGCTGCAGGAAGCAGAAACAGTCTGCACACTCAGACCCCAGGAGAGTGTGACCTCCCGGGCCCATCAGGGGACATGGGACAGCCACCAGCACCATCGCTGTGGCTGGCAGCACACGAGCAGTGGCCCAGACCCTGTGCACGCCTGTGGCACTCTTGCCTCAGCATCAGGAGCTTGCGCTAAGGGCCCATCTCACCACTCCCAGTCAGCACATCCTTCCTGTCCCTTCACAGAGGAGGAAACAGCTCAGAGGGCAGCTTGCCTCGCCAGCATCCACAGCTGGCCCAACCCCAGACCCCAAAGCCAATGCTCCTGAGCAAGCATACTCTGTGCACCCGCTACCTACATGTGGCACAGTCCCCACCTAGAAAGGGTGCTGAAGGCAGCAGAGAGCACACGCCCATGACACGTTCATGACACGCCCATCCCTCCCTCCCTCTCAAGAGACAACCTGACAGCCCTTCACCTTTTAGAAGGCTACTTAGACCCTGCATCACACACCTCCTAATAAGGGAGGGGAGGGGTGCTGAGACCTCCAGGCATTTCCCTGACAGCCCTAGGCAGCGGGAAAAAGGAGAGTCCTAGGCTCTGTCCCATCCGTGTGACCCCCCTCCAGCCCCTGGCCAGGCCCAGCCACTCACCTGCCCGCAGCAGGATGACCTGGTCATCCAGCGGCAGCTCAGAGAAGTGCGGGATCCGCTTGGCCCACTCCACAAGGGTGAAGAGCTGTTTGTCCGCTGCCTGGCAGATGTTGGTGACAGGGTCGTTGGGCTGCGGTGGAGGGCGAGAGGCAGTGCATTCAGTCCCAGGCCATCAACACATTTACGGAGGACACAGCCCCAGACCAGGCCCTGCCCCCCGTGCTATACCTGTGTGGTGGGCTGGATAAGGGCCCCCAAAGATGCCCACAGCCTAGTCCCCAGAACCTGTGAGTGGTGGCCTTGCACGGCAGGCGGGGCCTTGCAGGTGTGATTATGTTCTGGACCTTGAGATGGGGCAGGGTCCTGGATTATCGGGGTGGGCCCAGTGTAATCCCAAGGGTCCTTAAGAGAGGGAGGCAGGGGTCAGCGTCGAGAAGACAACTCGAGGATGGAAGTGGGGGTCACAGAGGAGAGAAGATGCTGCTGTCATGAAGATGTGAGAGGGGGCCACAAGCCCCTCCAGAAGCCGGAATAGGCACGGGTCCCCCCAGAGCCTCCAGAAAGAACATGGCTCTGCAGACACATGGACTTTAGCCGGGTGAGACTGAGTTTGGGTTTCTGACCTCCAAAACTGTCAGATAAAATCTGTGTTGTTTTAAGCCACTGAGTTTGTGGTAATTTGTTACTGTAGCCACAGGAAACTCAAACGGCCCACAGGATCCATTCAGTCCACATCACAGCCCTAGGAGGCAGGTGCCAGGGAATGAGGACATCAAGATGTGGGGGGAGGGGCCAGTCACATGACAAGTGGGCGTGGGGACTGGGGTGGGACCAGGCCCCCTTCACCTGATGGTCACAGTGGCCCACTCGGGGGACTGGACTGGCACCTTGCTTTCTATCAGATGTGGTAGAAAAAAGAAAAAAGTCACCAGGCCCCAGGCGCAGACAGAGGATGGCCTCAGAGGCCCTTCTGGAAAGTTCTAACCAGAAGGGCCTTTCCAGTCATTCTCACAGATAAGGAGCCCAGGGGGGCCTCGGCAGCAGGGCAGGAGGCGAGCCCCCTCCCCAGCTCCTGGCCAGTGGGCTTGGATCACAGATCCTCTGGGTCCTGACAGTGGGGAGGGAGAGACCGATGCCCAGGAGTGGGATGCCGGAATCCTCACTCCAGAAACCACGACGGCCAGGACGTTCACGCAGGAGAAAATGCCTTCCTCCGAAGAGCTGCTGCTGACAGAAACCATCTGCTTGTCAGCACACGCAGTCCAAACACGGAGCCCCACGTAAGGAGCTTGCTCAGGCCTCAAGTGGGTAGGCCAGTGACAAACTGGCATCCAGACCACTGGGGCTGGGCGGGGCTGGGCGTGCAGAGGGGAGGCCGGAGCCAGCGGAGGGAGGGGTGCTGGCACAGGGCCCGTCACTCATTCATTCACCCACCCCTTCTTCCTCAGCAACCCTCAGAGCCCCCAGCACATGCTCGGGCCCCCAGAGACTCTGCTCCTCAGCCTCAGTCTCCCCTTCTGTCTCCTTGCCTGACCATTTGCTGCAGGGCAGCCCCAAGGGGTAGAGCCAGGCCTGGTGAAGACAGGCCCCGGGGTGACCGAGCTGGGGAGGAGACAGATGCCCAGGCAGTGTGTCTCCAGCACAGGTGCGTCTGATGGAGCCTCAATGCTCAGCGGCAGGCAGCTCTGCCTGGGAGCCCTGTCCCAGGGAACTGGCCTCCTCCCTGGCCCCTGGCTGGCCACCCCCTAGGGAGCCTACATGGGGCCTGGAGTAGGCCCAGGTGACATGGCAGGGTGGAGCCCTGAGCCTCTCCTGTGCTGGCCAGGGCCTCTGCACTAGTGGTCACAGGGGTATCCCAACCGCCCTGTACCTGGAGTGGGCACAGACAGGACCTGGAACGGGACATGAGGGGCTGGGGAGTAGCAGGCATCGGCCCAGCAGGAGGTGCAGAGTCTGGCTCAGATCCCAGCAGGGCTAGGACTGCAGAGGTCTTCTGGGTGGGGAGGGACTGTGAGGGAATCCAGCCCCACCCTGCCCCACCTCTGCTGTGTGGCCTCGGGCAAGGGCTTGACTTCTCTAAGCCTCCACTTCTCACTTAGAGACCCAATGGGCCTCATTCAGCAGCAGACATTTAATGAGCTCGCATCTGTGCCAGGAAGAAGTGTCAACAGGACCTGCCCGAGCAGGGGCCAAGGCCCTGCCCAGCGCTGGAGAGAAACCAGCTACCAGATCGGGACGCCAGGCTAGTCAGCCCTCTCTGGGCCTCACTTTGCCCTTGGAGGGAAGGGGCCCGGTCAGCCACTTCCCCAGGAGGACCCGGGCGTGCAGCGCGAGACCTACACGAAAGTCGGGACGGGCATCTGTCCCCTGAGCAAACCCCACCGGCTTGGTGGTTCCAAACCCCCTGCCTTCTATGGAGCAACGGAGAACAGATGGAAGATTTTTTTCCCCAAATAACGTCCTTACTTGACAAAATAAAAACCTGGCAACACTTCATCACTCTCCCACCTTTCCTTTGGCGTTTCCGCTTGATCAGGAAACCCTCACGCTGCCCTCCCCTCCCCGGGACTGGTGAGGCGGGCATGGGGCAGGCCAGGGTCACAGACCAGACAGAACTGTCGGTGTTCACAGCAGGGGGTGAGTTTACTCCAGTCACTACTGGGGAGGGATCCTCAGCCCCGAGAACAAGGTGCCCACCTCACGGCCCCCATGTGCCGTCTCTAGCTAGGCAGCCCCAGCCCGAGGCCAGAGTGGAGGTCTCAATGGGCTGCGGTCCTGGGGGCGCCGGGTGTCCCGTCCTGGAGAGGGCAGGGAAGCAGGGTGACCAGCAACCCAGGCTGGGAGCTTCAGGTCACAGGGACCTCTTAGATAGACAAGAGGGGACTCCCCCAGACTGGGCAAAGGCAGGGGGGTAAGGAGAGCCCCATGTGAGCTCCTCGGGGCAGTGTGGGGTCGCTGTCCCTAACCCCTGACAGAAGCTGGGCAACGAGGAACTGCTCAGATGCCACCCCCATCCTCACTGGGGCTGTGCTCCAGGCAGAGGAAGCAGCACATGCAAAGGCCCTGCATGGGGAGGGGGTGGTGGCCAGCAGAGTGCGTCTGGCAGAGGGAGGCCAGTGGAGGGAGAGGGAAGGTGACCTCAACGTCTGCCTGGACAAGGTCTCCAGCGGCCGGCCACAGGACTCTGGTCCAAGCCCTGAACCCACATGGAGACCCAGATAAAGTTCAGATACCACACTGACTGCAAACCTGGGGCAGACAGGTGCCCCAAGAGCCAGCTGGACCACGGGTCCAAGACAGCACAAAGCATGAAGGTTAGTGAAGAATCCTAGGCTTTGATTCAAACTATCAGAAAGTCACCTACCCGACCTGGGGCCTGGGTGCAGCCACCTGCTCCTCGGGGCCTTTGACAAATGGGGTCTCTCACCCAGGCACACTCACCAGGGGTCAAAAGTCCCCAAAGCAACACAGCTTCTTGTACCTTAGGGTGGGAGGGGGCTCAGAGATGGCCAAGGAGCAGAGGGCCCCTGGCCTCAACTCTGCTGAGAACCCACACACAGGCTGGCCAAGGAGGGCCGCCACCTGGTAGGTACAGGAGAGGCAGATGCAGCCCCACCAGGCCAAGGGTCCCACAGCACCCCGGGACCCCTGGAGTTCATCAGCTGCTCAAGTTGAAGGGTAAGCGAGTGAGGGAACTACAGGGAAACTGAGGCAAGGCTGAGACTCACCGAGCTGGGGTTCAGCCCCATGTTTGCCTCCACGTAGGTCTCGGTCTTGGGCTCCACGGCTAGCTCAGCCTCCAGGATCTTCTCCACGGGCATGTCCTCGTTGGCACTACTGGTGGACTCCACCTCATTCTCGTTCCGGTCCTTGCCCCGCTGTCGCTCCTCCTGCACAGCTGTGACACGGAAGAGGTGCCACTCAGCCCCATGCGGGCCCAGCCAGCAGCTTCCACGGCAGCCCTTCCAGGGTCAAGGGCCAGGCACCACCAGCGCCAAGCCAGCATGCCCAGGACACCACAAGCCCCTCCAGGGCCAGTGAGGGAGGCACCTCCCAGAGCCAGCCAGACCCAGCCCCATCTCTGCCCCATATCTGGCCTCTCAGTGGCTGTGCGCTTGGACAGCAGAGCCCACCTCTCGTTACTTCATTTGACAAACGTTCAGACCAGGGGCCTCTCTGGGGCAGACAGGGCCCAGCTTCCCTGGAGCTGACAGTTCAGCAGGGACCCCAACGTGGAGAGAGAAGGGCTTTGATGGGCTATGAACTTAGGGAAAGCCAGGGAGGCTTCCTAGAAGAAGTGGCGATGAGACTGGAGGAGGAAGTACAGCAGGGACAACAGTCCAGACAGAGGAAACGGCACGTGCAAAGACCCGAGGCCAGGGCAGAGTATGCTCCTGGTGAGGAAGGGGGCCACCACGCCGATGGGAGCTAGAGCCGCGGGCACAATTGGGGGGCAGAGGACTCGTGGGTTCAGAGTCCTTTGGTCAAGTGTGAAGGCACACACCCGGAGACCCCCATGCACCCCCTCCCCCACACTGGAATCTGTCAAAGGGAAGAGATGCCCTGGACCCACCTAGTCACACTCAGGCCACAAGGCGACTGCTCTCCCCATCTCTCTGGTGCCACATGGCCCAGGGACCATCCACCCTACTCCTCTGGCCACACCCTGAGCAGTAGCACCGAGAGATGCCTGGGGATCTGTCCTGGTAAGCTGCCCAGTTCTGGGGGACTCAAGGCAGAGAATCAAGATAAAATATGATATTTTCAAGAAGCTAATCTGTAGCCTGGGGTCAGGCGTACTGCCCAGGCCTGGGCTCCAGCAGCTGCCTGGCTGCCAGCCAAGCCTGGAGGTGGGGACTCAGTGAAGGGGCCTCGGGCAGGAGCCCTTGCCATCCACCTGATGATCCCTACCAGACGGCCAGACGCTGGGAATCCTTTCCCCAAGCCTGCAGCCCACTTGGATTTACCTTTCTCAACTGCCTACTCTGGCACCTAGGGACCCCACACCCCACACCCGTCTGCCAGCCTGTCTGTGGCATCCACCACCAAGAGTGTCAGGGGATCAGCTGGGGTCTGGATGGTGCTTGGACAGACACAGCCCCTTGGCTCGCAGGCAGTTCCCCTGAGACGTGGCCCCTTCTTGGTAGTCCTGCCCCACATGTATGATGGCCCTGAGCTGGGCCCTGGTCCCAAACCGCCACCTCCTTCTTCTACTGCTCCATCAACCACCCAACAGCCCCAAGGGTAGGCAAGTCCATTACCCCCATTTTACAGGGGAGGAAACTGAGACCCAGAGAGACAAAGTGACTTGTCCAAATGAGAATGCCAGAGCTGGGAAAGCAAGAGGGGCCGTGGGTCCCCAAAGCCGCCTCTGTCCAGCTCAGCTCCACATCCCCACTGCAGTGAGGGCTTCTCCATCACCCCCTGCAAAGCCCTCCTCACAGGCTTCATCAGTGCCCAGATGCTGCTGTGCCCACCTGCCAGCGGGCTGGGCTGGGTGGTCCCTGACTCCCCGTCCTCTTTCTATGCCTGACAAATGGCCCCTCCAGGTGTCTCGATAGCTGGCAGAACACAAACCCCTCAGCCTCGGGTTCCCACAGGCACCAGCTATCCACAGACCGACCACCTCTGTCCACCCCCAGACCTACCTGCCCTGCCTCCGGCTCCAGCCCAGGCCTCATGCCCTGGCTTCCGGATGAGGTGCCGAATGTGAAGCTCAGGAGGAGACGGGAGAGGCGTCGATGCCTCTGGCCCCCTCCCTGCCTGGCCACAGCTGTCAGCACCACTTGCTCCTAAGGCCACAGCTCCTGTGGGGCTCTGCAAGCCCAACCCCACTCCCTCCTCTTGGCCTGGGAGGTGGGACTAACAGCTCCTGGCTGTGCTGGCCCAAGGCCCCCAGCCCTACTTGGCTCCCTTAATGATGCCCACAGCCCTGAGACAGTATTGCACCAGCACCTCTCATCCATCCTGTGCCAAAAGCTTTTTGCCAGGGCCCTGCTGACAACCATTCACAGTTGAGGGCACTGACACATGCCCCTCTGGGGCCTCGGGCTCCCTGACAGCAGCCCTGCATCCTTCCTGCATTGACAGCTCCCTAGAGCTGACCCCGTGCCCTGGGCTGTGCTCTCCAAGACCCCAAGGCCTGGCCTGAGCAAGGGACTTTCTGCCCACATGCCGAGGCTCAAGGACAGGAGAACGTCCAGCGCCTTCAGGACGAACGCACCAGCTGCACCAAGGAGGCCTCGAATCGGTGTTTCTGCAAGCCTGGCTCTTCTGGAAAGTCAGACAGCAGGTGGGAGCCGGGTGGGGAGCTGAGAGCCGGCAGACAAGACGGCACAGGGCCCATGGGGGCTGCAGAGGCTGGCCTGGCTCCAGCCCCTCCCAGCCGGGCTTCCACAACCCCTGCACATAGCAGGAGCTCCTCTGAAGTAGGGCCACTCCTCACGTTATCCTCTCTGTCATAGAGGACATGGTCATGGGGCCTGGAGGGCCGACCCCCACCAATGGTGAGCTGCCCCATGGAGCAGGAGGCACATGCATGGGCTGATGTCAGCCAGTACCTGGGGTGACAGGGACGTAGAACCCAGGCAGGGCCATGTCCCCAGGACCCTGAGGATGGGTCTAAAGCCTCAGTTCCAGGACACAGCTGAGAGATCCTTTCCAGCTCAACTGCTTCATCTTACTAGGTGGAGAAACCAAGGCTCAGAGAGCCAAAGGGGCATGGGTGAGCTCTGAGGACAGTAAGCTTAAAGCTGCAGGCTGCAGGCTCTGGAATCTAACACCTCCAGATCCCCAAAGCCTGCAGCATGCCTGACAGCTGTGTGGCCCTGGGCAAGTCCCGTAACCTCTCTGTCCCTCAGCTCTCTCAGGCGTAAAATGCAAATGAAGGCACCTGCCTTCAGGACGGATGCACTAGCGAACACCTGCACAGAGGAGCCATGAGACACTCGCAGCTTTGTCACCTGGAGCCCCCACTGCCACGCTCCCCGCCACCTGGCCCAGTCCCAGGGATTTCCTCCCACTCAAAGACAGTCCCAGGGTGCAGGGAGCCCGGGACAAGGAGGCCCTGAGCATGCGGCCTCGCTGCGGTCCTCCCCGCCGTCCTCCCCGGCTCCACAGCACCTGCCTCCTCCCGGGGCAGCTGAGAATTAATTAGCGAGTATCCTGTGAAGCGCTTTGAAGCTGTGAGGGGCCCCAACAGCTCTGAGCAGCAGCATTGTAAATATTATCGTTTTATTTATAGCCGGCGGAGGGGCAGGAGGGGCAGGAGGGGCCAGGGGACTTATGTTTTGCCAGCGCAATCACCTCTTAGACGCAGTCAGGTTTGACTTATGTCTGGCCGGCGCCGGGCAGCCTCGGGGGGAGGCGTCTGTAAACACAGGGCCGCCCATCGGCAGTGGAGCGGGGATGCCGTGGCCCAGTCTGCCCCACAGGAAGATCAAGACAGGCTGAGCTCGGCCCGAGTCCCGCTCTGCCAGACCCCGACACAGGCCAGCCCCTCCCCCAGAATAACCAGAGCCGCCAGCATCAGGAGACACACTGGCATAGAACCGTGGGGCGGCAGAGGGGGTAGCCAGGGTGGGCCCCCTCTGCCACAGCCCCCTAGGGCCGAGCAGGAAGGGACAGGGGTTTGGGAGAAAGAAAGACAGCTTGGTGTCCGGGGCGTCTTTGGGCTGAGCCCCTGACACAGGCAGGACCAAATTCCACCAAAATGCTCTGGCCCAGCTGCCTCTCTTTAAAGTCGGGGTGATACACACCCAGAGAGGGGGGAGTCCTGCCAGAGGCCACACAGTGAGTGAGGGTCACTCCAGCTCAGAGGAGGTGGCCTTCCTACCCACCCAAGGGATTCAATCTAGGGCAAGGCTTATGAAGACCAGAACAGTGCACACACACTCACGCACGCACACACAGAGACATGCTGTGGCCACTGCTTTTCAACCCCACCACCAGCCAAGCACAGCACTGTCATCTGCCATCTTCCTCCAACGAGCCCATGGGGGGACCTTGCTAGTGCCTCCCTGCACAGAAGAGGAAACTGAGGGCTCAGAGAGGCAACGTCACCTGCCCAGTGTCACAAAGCCAGAAAGCAGCAGGGCAGCACTTGAACCCAGCCTGGCTCTTGACCTACAGGAGAAACGTGTGGGGTCACCCATATCCGTGTACGCACATGCACACACATGTTTGCACACACCAAACACTGCTGCTTCCGCACCCCGGTCCTTCCGAGCCAGGGGACAGGCCGCAGGAAGCAAAGGAAGGTAAGAAGGAAATGGGGAGAGGCCTTCCGAGGAGAGAAGAAGGAAGCAGAGAAATAAGCAGGTGGCCCCTTCCAATGTGGTCCAGCGTCACCCCAAGGCAGGAGCCAGGTCTCCCCCATCAGGCTAGGAACTCCCAAGGGTGGAGCCTGTCTCCTCCATCAGACCAGGCGCACCTGCAGTCCCCCAACCCCCCACTGCCTGCTCCAGCAACAGGTCCAGGCTGGGCCAGGGAAGGGCCAGGGCCCCACCATGGCACTTCCCACCGGCTCTGCCCACCCCCAGCCCTGGGAATGCTGCAGAGCGAGTCCCAGGTGGCTGCTTGTGTGTGCAGGCCCTGCTGTTGCCCAACATGAGATGCTATCGGCCTGCAGCATCCCTCATTAGCCAGCTAAGGGGCGGGGGCCCCATCTGCCCCGAAGCCAGAACGGCCCCTCCTGGGGGCAGAGCCACCGTATGGGAAGACCTGGGCCCTCCCTGTGGTCAGCCAGTCCCGTGCCAACTCCAGCTGCCTCACAGCACAGCCCGGGGAAGAGATGCCTCAGCATAAGCCTCCGTCTCCAGGGGTGTGGTCACAAGCCCGGCCGGCCTCAGAACTCACAGCTCACATCCTGTGTGCTCTGGGCACTCTGGATGGACAACCTTGGCCCCTCAGCTTCCTCCAGGACTGCCTCGCCACTGGTCTCACGTGGTCAACACCCACCTGCTGCTGCCAGGGAACCCTCCCTGCAGTGGTTTGCCCTGGGAGAGCAGACAGGGGAGGAGCTCTGTGCTTGAGCACCAGTGAACGGCAAAGGCGCACTGCCCAGCACCCAGGTGCAAGCAGGGGCTGGGGCGTGCCCCGTGATCCTGCCAGCCACATGTCCTGCACGGGTCCCTACAGCATGGGCTCCAGGGCTGCACTGGGGTCGCCTGGCACTCTCCTCAACAGTAAGACCATGGACTGTGGGCCTGGGCCTCATTGCGCAGCCTGCATTCCACGGGCAAGTAGGTGGGAGGTGTCGCGCCTGCATAAGGACAGGCACTGGACAGCAGAGCCCACATGGCATGAGGGCTCACTTGTTCCTTGCCCACGTGGCTGACAAGGCCAAGTCTCGTAGTGGTTGTGTTTAAGGAATGACAACACTTTGTGGGAGTTATTACTGCAGGTTCATGACTCATAAATCCACCTGGAGACAAAGGGGAGGGGGAGTCCACTGACTGGCATCAGGTATTCACCGAACAGCCCATAAATCGGGTCTCAAGAGCCACTCACTACCAAGAGGTGAGAATGAGGCACAGGCTGGCAGGACTCTGCATCATGCAAGCTGGGGTGCAGCAGGCCTGCCCTGTGCTGGCCCTGAGACCTCTCCAAGTCCCCACCTCTCTGTGAGGCATGGACAGTATTACAGCACCAGCGTAGGCAGGTTGAGCGAGAGTGCACATGGGGATCGGGCCTGGGGCGCCCAATATGCCCCCACACAGCAACCTCCTAACAAAACCCAGTCACCAGCTGGCACCAGCGGAGGGGTCAGATCTGGTGGCTCTATGTCTCCCAGCCCTGATACTGTACGGTTCCCTTGGGATGGGACAGGGTGTCAGCCACACTCTGCCAGGCAAGGGGGCCAGGTGGCTGGAGTCTGATGATACCTAGGTACCCAGTGGACAGGCCGCAGGACCCACAGGAGTCAGTATTGACTTCAGGGACCCGTGGAAGGAGGGTTGCTTTCTGGGGTTCAAAACTGTTGTCCCCTGCTGTGTGCCAGGCCTGCTTCATGATGCCTGCAGCTGAGTCAGGTTCCTCCTCTGGGCTCCCAAAGCACCCGAACTTCCCCTCAGCCAGCCTTGCCTGCACCATGGGGGCCTGCCTGGCTATCTGATGGTCACTTTCAATGGACAGCGAGTTGCTGCTGTATACCCAGTGCCCAGTACAGTGCCTGGCACCAGAGCGGTGAGCTCTGAGTGAGTGACCTTGGGAGCAAAACCAAACTCGCTCTGCGCTGTGGCATCCCCAAGGGAGCTTCGAGGCTCAGGCTGCACCTGAGGCCTCCAGCTCCTCCCTCCAGCCAGGCTTCGTACCCTCCACGCCCCGGACAGGCCAGGCTCCACACCTGGGCACATAGTGATCCACTGCCCACCATATCCTTGCCCCTGCCTGAGCTTCCACCCTTCAGGAACAATGCTACCATCGCCACCCCCAGCAAGCCCCCCAAGAGGAATCGGGGCCAGGAGCACACCTCCCCTGGCTGGGCACATGCTTCCTCTGCCCTCTCTCTGCTCCCAGCCCCACGAGTGACCTGGACAAGGCCTAGGCCTCAGCGTCTCCACCTGCACAGAGATGGGTAGGCCTGGAAGGACTCTAGGCACTCCATGAAACACACGTCCAGTCAGAATGGCCTCGCTGGTGACACTCAGCACGGTCCACGCCAGCCCAGGCAGGCAGCTCAGCTCAGCGGGGAGTGGTGCCAGTCACAGGAGACGCAGGTGTCGTGAGCCCCGCCACCCCGCACTGCACACTCAGCCTCGCGCCCTCAGGGAGGAAGCCCTACAGGAGCATGGGACGCAGGTGAGGTTTTGGGTTCCCACAAGAACTGAGGCTGAGAAGGCAGTCTCCCCAGCCCCCACAAAATAAGACTGAAAAAAAACGGAAACTGCACACCACAGCCACCACTCAGGACGTTCCTTGGTGTGAGACACTGGCTTGGGGACCCCGTCTGGTGAGAAGGAGGTGACACACACACTGGCCATATGTGGAGCCACATGCAGGGGCACCCACAGCGGAGAAAGGAGAGAGACACAAACCATAACCGAGGAGTCCACTCCGAATCCAGGAGCCGTCAAACCCGACAGGAGACACAGGACACCACAGTGGGGAAACTGAGGTTCTGGGCAGCCGGGGCCAGGAGGCCACCCCACAGGCCGGTGCTGAGGGCCCAGACCCAGGTCTGGCTGGACAATTTCAGTGACCTTCCCTACTACCCATTCCCCACACACAAAAATCCGATGGGCTCAAAAATCCAGGCAGAGAGGCCTGAGGCACCGGCCTGCTGCTCCGAGGACCTGGCTGTCCTCAGCTGCCACCCAGGGGTGGAACTGGAGTTGGCTTCAGCACCGTTCCCAGGACCTCCTTGACTGTCCCCTCAGTGGACACTGAGCACTGCACAACCAGAATGAGCCACACAGGCCCACGTGCACCCACTCTCCTGGGCCCTCGCCACATGCGCTTTATTTCCTTCGTGGGTTTCCTTGTACTCCCAGCCTCATCCTGTCACAAATGCCCGCTCCCTGCTGTCCATCTCCAGGAGCCCACACGCTGGGCCCAGGCTCTGCCACACCCTCACAGGGGGCCCTGTCAGATCAACACCTGTCCCCACTGGTTGGAAGCCACCAGTAGGCACCAAGTCTGTCTTGTTTCTGCTGTAGTCCCAGGGCCTGGCATACAGCAGGTGCTCAGTGAAGATATAGTTAGAAGGAGAGGGGCTGGCACTGAGCCAGGCTCCAGGTGGCCCTGGGGAGGCCCCTGCCCCATAAGAGAAAAGCAAGGAGCCTCTCGCCCAGGCCCCCAACGCTAGCTGAGCAACCCCCACACCAGCCTGTGGGTGTGGCTTTGAGAGCACAGGCCTGACGGAGGGGCGGGAGGGGGCTTCACAGGTCTGACCAGTGCTGGTCTGCGAGGAGGTCTGGTCCCCCACCCACCTGCCCTCCTCACCCAGCACCTTCAGCCTACCTTCCCGCTTCATGCCCATGGCCAGGCACTTCTGGTAGCGGCAATACTGGCACCGGTTCCGCTGGCGCTTGTCGATCAGGCAGTCTTTGTTGTCGCGGCAGGTGTAGGTCAGGTCCTTGCGCACCGTCCGTTTGAAGAAGCCCTTACAGCCCTCACAGCTGTATACACCGTAGTGCTTGCCTGTGGGGCGGTGGCAGGGCCAGTGAGCGGCCACAAGCCGGGGCCACCCACGCACGTCCCACACTGCTGCCGCTGGCTGGTGGGCCAGGCCTTAGGAAGGCCATCCTGGTCTCCAGACCCCCCCGCAGGGTCTATGCTTGGCCCCGGCCTGGACCCTCTGGGGTGACTGGGCTGGCTTAGGAGTGGGGCGGGTTGATGCCAGCCCACAAGGACCATGCCACAGTCAGTGGCTTGCTCTGCATCTGAGCTAGCACCCCAGGAAAGGAAAGATGCCGTTCTCCCCTCTCAGACTACTGGGGCTCAGGGGCATAATGTGGGGACACTTTGCCCAGGCACAGTCCAGAGAAGAGGTGCAGTCCTCAGTGCCCCTTTACCACGGTCAAGAGCTGCCTCCTCTCCAGAAGATTCCGGAGACCACCCTGCCCATGCCGGTCTCCCACCACACTTACTGACGTGAAATGCTACAGGCTAGAGTGAGGACCTCGGAGCTCTCAGCCCACCCTTGCTCCCACCTGCCTCCCTGCAGCCCCACGTGCTCCAACACCCACATCCCCTGCCCCCCGCCATGGCCCTACCTGAGGAGCGGTCCCCGCAGATGGCACAGATATGCTTGGTGAAGGACGCCATGTTTCCCGAGGGGTGGGCAGGGACTTTGAGCACGCCATTGAGGCCCAGCGGGGGCTTGATGTCCTCGCTGCTGCTGACGGGGTTCATGGGCGAGCTGAGCTGAGGACGGATGATGGCAAGTCAGCCCGGGCAGGCTGTCGTGGGCACTGACTCCCTGAGCCACACAGCCAGGAGCAGCAGGGACACTGCCCTCGGGAAAACAGGGCCCAGCCAGGCTGTATGCCAGGCTGGTGGAGGCTGCCCTGCCCTCAGGACTTCCCCTCTCAAGACAGACCCCAGCTGCTGCGAAGGAGCCTGCCCTGCCCAGGACCCCGCAGCCCCCACCCCACATGGGAGGTCCCTGTTCACACCCCTGCCCACCACCCTGCTAAGTACTGAGCACCTTCTCTGCTCCTGACCCCTGCTGTGCGCTCCCTGCACACGACGAGGCAGGCACTCTGGTGGCCCCCAACCCACAGATGAGGACACTGAGGCCCAGTCACGACGAAGAACTGGAGTCCCCCAGAACCACACATGCCCCCCACTACACCACACAGACAGGGTGGGGGATCTCAGGTCAGACGACACAGGAGAGGGGAGTGGACACCCCCGGGCATCTGGCCCCATAGACATCTCTGCACACCCCTCCGCCCGGCCCACCGGCAGCCACCACTGCTACCAGGGCAAGCGTGGGAAACTCACCGGTCACCCTGGCAACAGCTGCCGCGTCGCAGTGACACAGCAGTTTTGGTTCCGCTGCCTCCACCCCGCTCTGCAGTCAGCACAGAGGGCCCAGAGGCGCTTCCGCTGCGTCCCGCCAGCCAGGCTGTCTGCACAGGACCCCGGCTGGCAGCCCCCGACCCCCACTCCTGAAAACCCCTGACAGGGCAGAAAGCGGGTGTGCAGATGCCTCTAGCTGCCACAGCACTGCCCTCGGGTAGCCCCGGGCCACCTCCTGCACGGGAACCTCATCTCCTTCCTTCCCCTTGGCCCCCAAATCCCATCCCCCTTTCTCACAGGACAGGAAGAGCCTGGTCCCAATGCAGGCAAAGCAGAAACAACCCCAAAGCCTCCTTTCACATGGTCCTCTGCACCCGAGTGTCTGTTCTAGCCTCAGCTGGTTCTAGGTCCTTCCTGGGTCTGCCCATGAGGGCCGTTTAATCCCTGCAGGTCTAAGTGGGCTGCAGGGAGGCCAGGAGGCCCACTCCAACAGCTCAGTGCAGCAAGACAGTGGTCAGGACACCGGAGCTGGGGTGGGAACAGCACATCCAGGGTCCCGCTGCAGAATAGAGCAGCCCCTTCTGTAACCTGCCAAATGCCCCATGTGCATGCCTCACGCTTCAGGCACATTTCCCAGAGAAGACAGGGAACTAAGAATAAGAAGGGGCAAGCGGTGGCACCAGACTGAGCAGTGCTGAGAGCCTGGCTCTGCACGCACACTGGCCTCTCCCCACATGGGAAACCCTGGGGGCTGGTGCTGCGCTCCCACTTCCCAGATGTGACGCCGAGGCTCAGGGAGGTCGGGGGCTGGCTGAGGTTCCCCAGGTTAGCGGGTAATCACCAAGTACATGAACCCCACATGCAGCAGAAGGGGCAATGGAGGCCCCAAGAGAGGCAGGGCTTGCCCAGACTCACTCTGCAAGGGAGCAGCGTGTGTTCTTTGGTCCCATCCATCACTTGATGTTCACTGAGTGCCCAGCCTGCCCTGCCCTGTGCTAGGCACCAGGGAACAAATCCCTGCCTAGCCCTCTGGAGCTTGGGGGCCCAGCAGAGATGTGGGGGAAAATCACAAACCACCCTGAGGCTGCAGGGGACGGAGGAGGAGCCTGCCAGTGTTTGCCCCAGTGCTCTGGAGGCCTCCAAGGCAGACGCCCCAGCTCTGAATTCTGCCTCCTCCGTTCTCCTGTGACTTGGGGGAAATCACCTAATCACTGTGGGCCCGAGTTTCCTCGTCTGCAAAACTGGAACAACGTTAATGCCTACACTGCAGGGCTGACAGGGGCAGCATGCAGGGTAGTTAGCCGACAGCACACAGCAACAAACCACAGTGCAGCAGCACTGGGCCTGGGAGGACAAGGGCAGCCCCCAACAGGGGGGCCCAAGCCTGCACTTGGAGGACGGTCGGATGAGGGAAAGAAGTGGGTGCAGCCGGGGCAGGGCGGCAGCAGCTGCAGCCAAGGGCAGCTGCCCTATGGGCAGGCACTGAGAGCGTGTGAGCATGAGGGCGCAGGAGGCCCGAGGGCCAAGGCTGGGCTTGAGGGCCCTCTCCTGGGCTGCCACCCTTCCCCACACTGCTGGAGCCCAGGCAGTGACTCTGCAGGGCCAGACCTGCCTGGCAGCAAGGAGAGGAGCTTGTGCGTTTCCCCTTCTGTGGTTGCCCCAAGCCAGGCTGGGTGGGGCAGGGGCCACCTGCTCTGTCCCCAGCCTCCCGTGTGCAGTCCCTTGGGCCTGATGCCTGCCCTAGGTAAGCAGTGAGGAGGACTGGCCGTAGCCCTCACCAGCGAAGGGGCTCCAAGCAGGACAGGACAGAGGAGTTAATCAGAGAGACAGTGCCAAGGCCAAGCTGGCTCCCGGGCGGAACACTGGGGGCATCTCTGCCCTCCCACATCTCAGTGAGACCAGAGCCTCTGCACAGCCCTGACAGCCTGAGGAATGGTGAACCCCTGAACACCTGGGGAGACCGAGGCTGGGCTGGGGCGCCCATCCACACTGCAGGCCTGCGGCCACTTTGCTCCACTGGGCCCCACCAGTGGACAGTCCTGGTGTGGATGCCGTGGCAAGGCTGTGCAGGGCCATGAGAACGCTCTCTACCCTTCCCACTCCAGGCTGACAGGCCCTGGCCTGGGTTCAGAGTGCCCAGAGAGAGCACAGGGCAGCCCCTGGGGCCTCGGTCTGCGTGGCATGCCCCCACCTCTCCAGGGACTTCTGCACTCACTGCCCCATCCCTCAGGAGACCCAGGACCCCGAGAGCCCTTCACAGGAGCCTGAAGATCCTGAACGTGGCTGGTGTGGGGCCATCCCCTGGGGTGGGGCCATCCCCTTTCCCCTTTCCCCTTTCCTCTTTCCCCTTTCATATCCCAGGCATCTATTTCAGTTCCCACCTCGTCGGTGCCACGCCCAGGTCTACTGCCCACCTCTCCCTGCCCCTTTCTTCCACACACACCACGCCCTTCCTTCCCCAGCTGCAGCAGGCCCCTCCATAGCCCCAACTCAGGAAAGGCCCAGCGCCCATGACCAGTACCCTGGGGCCTCCACATGCCCATCAGGGCAGGGGCAGATGGCCCCTCTCCATGGTCCCTCCCAGCTCTGCTCCTCAGCGAGTGAGCTCCTGGCCCAGCTTCCGACCCCGTGAAGCACATCCCCAAGCAGACACCGTGGCCCTGCAGGCACGAGGCTTTGCTGGAGTTCAGAGGCCCTGACCCCACACCCAGCACCTTGCTCAGCACCCAGGAAGTGCTCTGGGCATGAGAGCTGGCACTAAGCCTCTCAGCCAATACCTGCAATGCACTCACCCCAAGTGAGGCGCAGCCAGGCAGGCTCTGGGACACAGTGGGGACCGTCCCCTGGGCCCTGCCCTGGTGGAGCCCCCAGACCAGGGCAGAAAGGTGGGCCAGCTTGGGTGCCAGGCAGCTATGGTCTGGCTTCCCTCTACCCAGACTCCCCCAGGCTCCTGTGCCCCTCCCGGCTGTGGTCACGAGCAGGCAGAGCTCAGCAGAACCCCAGGCCCTCCCCGACAACAGCAGAAGTCAGAGAACCTCACTAGCTCCAGCGACTCTTTGTGGTTGTGGTTTGGGGGTTGGGGGTGGGGCATGCCCCCCCCAACTGCACCCACACTCCCATCAATATGAGGAACCCCAGGTTTGCAGGACAAACTGCTGAAGCCCAGAAGCTGGCTTCGGCTTCCAGGGAAGGAACTACAAATTCCAGGGTAATCTAAGGGCTACCTGCACAGGGTGGCCAGAGGCCAAGCACAGGCCCCAGACCATGCCAAAACTAACTGCAGGCCTGACCGACAGACGGATGGACAGACGGCTGACAGCCTGCAGCATCCTGGGTCTGCTCCCCAACTCACCCCCCATCTACCCCACAAAACCCTTAGCTCCACCCTCCATGGAGACTCAGACCCCCAGACACAAGCCCTCTGGATGTTATCCAGGGCAAGCGGCAGGCCTGGGGAGACTCAGCAAGGAGCCTCATGGGGCTCTGAGAGACAGCAGGTGCCAGCCAGTGAAGCCAGGGGACAGGTGGAGACTGAGTCTTCATCTGCCTTGTCCTTGCATGGCACTCAGCAGCCAGCGAGGGAGGGGGTGAGCAGCTATGCTAAAAATAACTTGGCCAGGCCCGAGGAGGCACCTGGGCCTCCCCGCTCCAGCACCTCGGCCTTCTGCCTGCTTCTGGGATCGGGAGTAGCGTGTTTGTGCGCAGGGCCCCAGCTGTGTGTACCTACCCCCTAGGGCAAGGGGGCTTTGATGGGGCTCACCTAAAAAGCCAGTGAGACTCTCCAGGAAAGGGGCCCAAGAGGACCAAGGCCAGCTGTGAACAGGCGCAGCTGGGCAGACAGCGGGCCGGCTCCAGACCCCAACTGCACCCAGTCATCCCGTGCCAGACACAGGTGGGCTGCTCGGAAAGCGGGAGCAGGGGTCTTAGGAGGCACAGGACCTGTTGGCGCTGTGAAGCTCTGGGCAGGCCTGTCACCACTGCACTCCCTCCCTGGCAGGCGGCCGTAGGGCGGAGCTCTCCGCCACACAGGCTTCAGCTACTGGGGACAAATGGCTGAACCCAAACAGAGACAGTCAGAGCGGGAAGGGAGCTTCCCTACCTATTTTAGGAAAAACAAATGGAGCCCCCGAGAGAGGAGAGACTGAGTGGGAGTCACGGGAGGCCTCCTGACCAGCAGGCAGAAACCCACCAGGCACCACTGGGGAGCCAGAGAGAGGGATGCCCTACAGTCCCCACAGGACAGGGGTCCGCAGAGCTGGAGACAACTCTGCAGGAGTTCTGAGGAGAGGCCCTCAGGGTGTCTTCCCCAAGGGAGAAGGGGACAGGAGACCAGGCCTCCAAGGTCCCTACAGCAAGACCTGGGCTATGCCAGGTATCAGCCGCTTCCTGATCCAGAAACAAGCCAAAAGGCCAAACTGCTGGAGAAGCATCTGAGCAAACCCTAACTATGGAGAAGGTCACCAAGCTCTGCAGACAACCGGCACCCACAGAGCCTCGAAGAGCCATGGCCACCAACTGTCACTATGGGCCACCACGGGCCCTGAAGCCTGGCGTCCCTGAGGAGAGACGTATCTCCACTTAGCCTGGACACAACTTTCCTGTAGGCCCAGCAGGCACTGAAACTGCTGGCATGGTGTGGCAGAGACCAGGAGGGAAGGACCCAGGATCATGTGGCCGTGGTGCTCTGGGGAGGAAGGTTAAGCCCGAGGAAGGTTAAGCCCAAGGAAGGCAGAGCCCCCACCCTACAGAGCTCCACAGCCGCAGGAACAGGGAGCCCCCCAGCACAGGAGGGGGCCATACTGGGATAGGGGACCAGCTGCGAAGACCCAGGCTCAGAAGCCAGGCGGCCCTGGGCTTTGACCCCAGCTAAGGCACGCTGCTCTCTGAGGCTCTGTCTCCCATGGATAAAGGTGGGGTGACGGCACCTACCTCCCAGGGTGCACAACGTGTGCAGACACTGCAAGTGACGCCCACAGCCCCACCCAGACCTGTCCTCTGTCCCACCCCCCTCCCCACCACCCCAGCCCTGCACTCACCTGGGGGCTGCCAGTGCCAAAGCCCAGGGGGGGCGTGGTGGGCACCGACATGGAGTGGGGGCCCATGGGGGAGCTGATGACTGAGAAGGGTGGGCCCATGCCATTGATGGGGGAACTCAGCGTGCTGATGGGCGAGTGCAGCTGCCCCGGCGAGCCCAGCGAAGAGCCGATGCCAGCCCCCAGGGAGGGGTGCAGCGAGGGGGCGGCCATGGAGCCCCGCCCGGTCGGGGAGCTGAGAGATGAGGAGTTCACCTGGGTGGAGAAGTCTGCAAGACAAGAGCCAGGTGGTCAGACCCAAGGCCTCCAGAATCCATGCCAGCTGCTTGCTCCCGTAGACTACAGACCCCGGCCACTCTGATGGTGGCCCTGTCGGTGACAACTCACTGACCCAAATTCGCACCAACACAAGGCCAGGACAGGGGTGCCCGGAGCTCCCCTCCAAGGCACCGTCCAACCCTCAGCTGGCTGCAGCTTTAGGCTGAGCCGAAGGCAGATGCAGGAAGAGCCACTACCAGCTGCCTTCAGTGTGCTCTGAGACACTGACCTGGGCTACTCCAACCGAGCGCGCCCAGGCCCGTCCACCCAGGAAGCAGAGGAAGAAAGGCCCAATGGCCAGGAGTAGCCGGCCCCTCTGCCAGTTCCACAGGGGGCCAAAGTGAAGGTCAGGGAATAATAACAATAAAAGTAATAAAGACTGATGTTTCAGAGTTCCCATGACGTACCAGAAACTAGTCTGTCCTTAGTATAGATTAGCACATGAAGTTAAGAGGTAAGCAGTAGGTACGATTACTATCCCATTTTACGGGGGCAGCAACAAGGCCCTGCATTGCTATAGCTACCTGCAGCAGAGCCAGCACCAGCACTGCAGGCAGACCCACTCCAAAGTCTGTGCACCTAACTACTAGGCAACACTGCCTGGGCCTGCTGAGATACCACAGCAATGGTGGCCAAGACACCAGGCCCTCAGGCTCCTCTGGCTCCGTGGTCTGGGGTCTGTTTGGCTCTCGTGGGGCCCCAGGAGCAGGAGGGGACCAGAGAGGTGGGAAGGGGGCCCCTGGCACTGCCCATGTGGGTGGGTGGTCTTGTGGAGAGGCTGGGTGTATACCAGGCATAAAGCCCGGCAGCCCACAGAGGCAGGGGAGAGGCTGGGACCTCCCACACACCAGCCTTTCATCTCAGGGATTTCAAAGTTCCAAACGAGCATTTAAACTGGGCCTCCCCCACCCCACCCTGACAGAAGCCTCACCAGGAGGGAGGCTCCCAGGCAGTTAATCCACTGCCACGGGCCTGATCAGACCGTCAGGAAAACAGAAGAAGTCCACACAAAGCAGCATGAACAGCACCCATGCCACTCCCCCTGCCCCCACCCCAGCTCCCACAGACTGGGCGCTCTGGGCAGCTCACTCTCCCCCTCTGGGCCTCAGCCTTCCCATCTGCAGAATGGTCTCTCAGGCCCTTCCCTCCCGCCCGCCTCGCGGTGATTACACATGCTTCTGAGAAGCTGAGCAGGACCACGGCACATGGAGTGACTATGACCTAACCCACGCACTCCAGGTCAGGGGACACACACTGGCTGCACCACTCAACAGCCCCGGAAGACTGTGCCTCCCTGAGACACGAGTGCCTGTGTCCCAGGTGTGTGCTCGTTGAGTGCCAGGCCCGAGCAGGAAGAAGTCCTCTGCAAGACCTCTCAGGGGCATCTGCCTCCCATATAACCTGAATCTCAGGGGAACTTCATGAGCTTCAGGACACCGTTACCAGCCAACGGCGGGGTCGGGACTCGAACCAGACCTGACTCCAGCCACAGACTGCCCAAATGCAGGGTCTTGTGAACCTGTCCACAGAGCTGCTGCCAGCAGCCAGTGGTAGCTCGGGGTGATCCCAGCAGTCCAGCACAGAGGCAGCGGGAACATGGAGGCTCTGCACCCTGTGACGGACCATCCTGGAGGAGCACACCCCACCCCACAGCCTCTCTGCCTTCCACTCCCCAGGAGGAGGGTCAGGGAGGAGGTCCAGAGCTCCACCTTCAAGCCCGGCTGCCACATGCACCCGAGTCAGGGTATAGACTCCACCGACAAACGCACTGGAAACCTTAGCCATTCACAAGATTGGGAATAAACCATTTCATTGAACTCAGAAATGCAAATTTACGGAATGCCAGAACCAGATGTTGGTGGCACCTACACCTACTGGCAAAGATCGGTACTGCAAATCAGCCCTATCAGTCACTAAACTCCCTGGACAAGGAGCACAGAACCCACACCGGGAGGTCAAACACCTGGAGCCTAGCGGTCTCCACATCCAGGGAGAACCCCCAGGTGAAGGCCAGGGAGAGAGCCAATAGGACCTGACCAGAGAAGGCA